ACCATGCCTGGCTAATTTTTTCTATATATTTTTTTAGTTGTCCAGCTAATTTCTTTGTATTTTTTTTAGTAGAGATGGGGTCTCGCTCTTGCTCAGGCTGGTCTGGAACTCCTGAGCTCAAACGATCCACCCGCCTCGGCCTCCTAGAGTGCTACGATTATAGGTGTGAGCCATGGCACCTGGCCTCCTTTTCACTTTTATGTACAACTCCACCTATTTCCTTCTGTCATATCTTGTTTGGAAAAGTGTGTAGAAAGTATACAGGAACAGGTGTTAGGAAACCTGGGTTCTAGTCCAGTTTATACAACTTCAGTCAAATTGTTTAACCTCATTTAGTTTCTTTTTTGGTATTTACAATTTCTAAAAGCCAACTCTGATCTATTTCCAAACACATACTCTAACCTGAGCCTTTTTCAAGATCAAAATTTTATTCTGTGTAATGAATTCTCATTGCTCCTCATAATCCCTCCATTTACCAGCATCGTGACCTTTGGCTGAGTTACTAAAATTCTGAGGTTGTTTTTATCCTGTATATGGAGATCATAACGCCTACTTTGTGAGGTGATTGTTTAAAAGTATTTAGTTCAGACATTCTGTAGTTATCATTAAATGTATTTTCTGATAATTTCATATAACTGGTAGAAATAATGGTCACAAGCCTCACATGAAAAAAGGCATAAAATATATGAATCATATTGATAAACATTTTTGTGGTAATTGTACCATAAGGTAATATCAGAATGTTTACATACATCTATTTTTGGGCAAAAATTATATTTCTATTTAGGGTTGTTTTTTTTTTAACTTGCTTAATGAAAGAGTAACATTGTTATTTGGTCTAACTAGATGCTTCGTTCAACTCCTTTTAGTAATTAAGAAATATGTTTCAAGTGAAATTTGTCTAAAAAAATCATTCTATGGAATTGCTTTTGCATTTTTGATACTATATTGATGTTTGGAAACATGAGGTATATAGATGGCAGTTGTTTAGGTATATTTACTGAATATAAATAGAACATTAAACTGTTGGCTAGGGGTAGCAGATTTAATAGATGAATCAAATGAAAAGTACCTAAAAAGATATATAGTGTTTATTTTAATCTGATTTGTGGGCATTTTGTATGTTTAGTATTTTATAATTCATTACTTTAAAAATATATCACGATAATATCAAGTTTATAAAATTCTATGACTATTTTATGCATGGAATAGTTTTAAAGGTCAACACTACTCTTTTATGTAGGTTATGGGTGCTACATGTGTGCTTTCAGAGCAGTAGTGTGAGGAAGCTTGAAGTGGGATGGCAGGACGGCCTCATCCCTATGACAGTAACTCCAGTGATCCAGAGAATTGGGATCGGAAATTGCATAGTAGACCTCGTAAGCTTTATAAACATTCAAGGTAGGTAGAAAATATATATTTCGCATATCAAAGCTCTACTAAAACTGATTGTAAAGATGACTACTGCATTTGGTTGTGGCAAGTTCTATCAAAGGATGGGGCCTAGCTTATAAAATATTGTGAATATTTCAATTTCTCCTTAAGTAACTATTGGAGAAACATTTCTTTTTTTTAATTTTTTATATTTATATTTGTTTGAATATTTATTTCTGTCTCTAAATAATGTTAAAATCTCATGGTTGATCCCATGAATAAATGCTATAATGGACTTAATTGGGAACTGTGGCATGATAGGTTAATTCTTTGTATTTAAAACTCTCTAATAGGAATATATTTCATGCTCTAAATACATTGTGTGTGTAGCTTACACAGGATAATTTATAAGTTTATGTTAGTGTTTCCCTCCATACATTTTTAACTATGTGAATTTATATTGTATTGTCATCCTGATCCTAATGGAAAATTAATCTTTCTGGAATGACTCTCTCTATTGGTTCATTTAAAGTTCAGTACATGAAATGAAATTCATTTCAAAAGTTTCAGCCCATCTATATATTATTTTTAAAACTTATTTTGTCCTTTGTAACTTAATGAGGATCTTATTTAGAATACTTTGTGATCTGATATTTAAGGGGTTAATTGACAACTCATAAACCTCACATATTACAGGTATGTAAGCATGTTTACATAGTTAATTTTGCTTTATGAATATTACTTAGGTGATATTATTGAACATGTACTTACTTGAATAATAAAATTTTCTTGATCACTTATAACGAATACCAGCTTTCTTGAAAAAAAAAATGCCATGATTGAAATCCTTTTTGTAATTTTCAAGAAATAGTTCAGGTACTTTAAAACTATATGCTATGGCTAGGAAATATGCATGACTGGTACTAGTTAAGTCTCCTAATAAGAGGTTCACCTTTATTGTAGACTTTTAATGTGATTAGGTCTAAAATGTTAATGTTAAGGTGATTTTATTATAATTTAGAAATACATGGCAAATGGTATAAGTGATTTTTGGTTTGTTTTGTTTGTTGATTTTGTGTGTGTGTGTGTGTGTGTGTGTGTGTGCGTGCGCGTGCATGTCCTAACTGGAGCTTTAGTTCATTTACTATGCTCTATTTCATGAATAATTATCTTGTCATTGAGATTAAAGAGGTATTGGTTTATCCATTAAATGTGGGACTATATATATACTATGTTGTGTATAAATATATATATTTTCAGGTGAATTATATGGTACTCTTCCTATTTCTTGATACTTTTCTGCTGAGGTATCATACATACTGCATTACATAATGAAAAGGTGGCAAGGGTAAAAATAAGCCATTGTTTGCTTTATAAAAGCGACATGCATACAGAGGGGAAAATTTATAAAACCGGCACTTTTTTTCTTTTCTACTTTTTTTTTTTTTTTGCTAATCTTCTCTGTATTGTTCCAGTTTTAGTATATGTGCTGCCTAAGCGAGCATGACAGTACTTTTTTCATTGTTGTTTTTTCATTTTAGTAACAAATACCATAATTCTTTTTGATACCTGTAGCATTAACTTTTCTGTGATGTTTTCAAGTACACTGCAGCAGTATTTAGGGTTATGTGAGTTAAGAACATAAAATAGAAAATAGATACCAATAAGTCATTTTTAAAAAAAAAAAAATGAAAGACCATAAAGTCCTTTGAATGAGATCATTTTAGCCTCATTCTTAGAAAATCTGCCCAAGGAAGAACTTTTAAAGACTTCTTGTCCTTATGTGCTTAGGAACATATAATTTAAGATACTTTAATAAAGTATGCTTTGACTTTTTAAAAATGTTACTTTTTGGATTGATATAAGTTAATTAGCTGAGTGGTTTTATGTATTTATTTTTTCATTTTTATTTATATAATTTTTTCCTTTTTTCTTTTCTTTGTGATTAGGGTATCCTTAGAAGGCTGAGCGGTTTTAAAAACTAACGATCAGGCTGGGCGATCAGGCCGGGCACGGTGGCTCACGCCTGTAATCCTAGCACTCTGGGAGGCTGAGGCGGGCGGATTGCTCAAGGTCAGGAGTTCAAAACCAGCCTGAGCGAGACCCCGTCTCTACCATAAAAATAGAAAGAAATTAATTGGCCAACTAATATATAAAATATAAAAAAAATCAGCCGGGCATGGTGGCTCGTGCCTGTAGTCCCAGCTACTCGGGAGGCTGAGGCAGGAGGATCGCTTGAGCCCAGGAGTTTGAGGTTGCTGTGAGCTAGGCTGATGCCACGGCACTCACTCTAGCCTAGGCAAGAAAGCGAGACTCTGTCTCAAAAAAAAAAAACAAAACAAAAAAAAAAACTAACGATCAGCACATATTATCGAGAACTTGCCTTCAGTTCAGGAGAGATTCAAAAGTGCGTCAGGGTACTGTTATGAAATGATTTAATGTCAACCTGTGGAACAATTAGAGGACAATAGGGCACTTAAACTATGGTACTGAGTTGTAAAGTAAGAGTTCAGGAGAGGAATCATTATCAGCTTGAGTAGATGGAAATGAGACTTGAACTAATCCTTTGATGATTAGAGTATTAGATAGATGGAGGACATTTCTGGCAGGGACCTTCAGGAGTTGACCTTGACTGCATCTGAAGAGGGAGCTCTATGGATAGTATTATTGTCCCCATTTGGCAAATGAGAAAAATAAAATTAATAAACTTGCTCAGGATGATCTAACGTGTAAATGGCAGAGCTGTGATTTATAAACAAGTTTCTTATCCTTTTTATTTTCCAAATTTTAAATATCTTATTATGGTACATTTTAAATACATGCAAAATAGAATAGATATAATGAACCCTTGGCTGATGGATATTTAGTGACTTAAGGATGATAGTGTCAAAAACCTCTCATTTTCTTGGCTTTCCACTCATGATCACATGGTGGATATTGTAGCTCCAGTCATTATGTCTACCATGTAGACAAGGAGAGGAAGAAGGGAGAATGGGACAAAGGACTTCATTTATATCAGGAAATTAAATTTCTCAGAAATTCCCAGCAGTTATCTGCGTATTAATCATTGGCTACAACCATGTCATATGGCAATCTTTGGATCAGGAAAACTGAGAAATAGTTTTTAAACTCGCCACATTGCTACCTTAAACAGAATTGGGGATTTAAAGTTATGAAAAGTAAAGAAATAAGCATACTTTTCTTTGTTGGTTCAGTTTTTGTAGGTGATCTGAAAGTTGTTTAAATTTGTATTTTGTTTTGTTCTGTTTTTGTTTTGGAATAGCCTAATTTTTTTCAGTCTTTTACTTTTGATTTTTTCCCCCTACTTTTCCTTGCTGGCTAGAATAAAAATAAATTTTTTGATTTATAGAAGTAGCAGTAATGGTTACCATCTTATGTGTGCTTATTCATTGACATTTGATGGTTTGGTAGGCATTATGGTTTTGATTCTGTCTAATACAACTTTAAGGTACTTTTTTCCCCCTAAACTTTCTTTTGAATGTAGATTTTATATATATCTTTAAAAAAATATCTTACAGTTGGAGAAGGTAGTCTGAACACAGACTTTCAAGGTGCTTATGTCTCCTGCAGGTGTATACAAATAAATTAGTTGAAAAATTACTGAACTTTGTTTCTATGTGAATTGTTATATTTCTAATACCTATATAGAGGGGTTTGGTAGCCTGCTGAAGATGTTAAAGATCATTTCAGTTGAAATATATTTGGCTTGAATTGTGACAACTCCTTAAATATGAATTAGAGGAGTTTTTGCTATTTAAAAAATGAAAAGAAAGAGCACCTTTTCTCTATAAGGTTAAAATGTCTAGATAGACAATATGCTAAAAGCTCTTGACTATTTGGGTTGGGTAGAATATGACTATATAAAACTTAGATCTGCAGTCTGCTCAGGTTACTAAAGATAAATACATCATACATTCAATATAGACTATGCCGCAAGGTTTCATTCCCACGTATAAGTACGCATGCTCGTTTCTTCTGAGACTGCATAAAGTCTGAGCTTTTCAGTTTCCCTTTTAAGTCACTTCATAGCCCCAGCAGCAGTTTAGAAATGGAAAAGTTTGGTTGCTTTAAAGAATAGTTCTTGAGTGGATTCTTAAAGTACAAATAATATTTTCTCTTTTAAAGAGAAAGCTTTAAAGTTTTAAAGAGAAGCTATACTGCTCAGAGTGGACACGCAGTAAAATATTGAAAGGTAAAAGTTAGCTGTATCCTAGTTTTCTAAAACCTGGCAAGCTGGCAGAGCTAGAATTAGCTTTACAGATGGCATTTGGCAACATATCTACATCTCTAAGCCCTCATCTCCTGTGTTTCCTTCAGCCTGTCTATCAATTACAATATCCAATCACTGCTCAGAGATGGAGAAATGGGCTGATCACAGCTCACACGATGCTGTTTGGTTAGAAACGTCAGTGCTGCACAGCCCACGGCTGAGTCAGTGTCTGTGAGAAAATAAACTGAATTAATATATAGAGGGGGTTGTAGCTCTGAACATTTAAAACCTAAATAACTGCAACAGCAATATTACACAGTAGAGGGAGGAAACTAAAGGAAGTCTGTGGACAGGTGAGGTAGGGGGAGACGGAAATTTTCTGATTGTTCAGAGGAATCTTGAAGATCATGGAAATATCAGATGTGCTAAAGTTTCCTAGTAATGCCCAAGGATGCTGACCTGGCTTTCAGTGCTGCATTGTTTGAAAAAGCAGAGTCCCTTTATACTCTGATTTCAAAATTTTTTTCTTGTTTTTGTGTGTCTACCTTGGCATATACTAAAGGAAGGTGTGTATTCATTTATTACGTGATATCTCTGGGTTATAATTGTATACATATACAAATATGAGAAAGATTCAGAGAGAGATGTTTGGCCTTTGTTTCATTATGATCGTTTACATGTCTAGATGTAAAAGATCGTATATCTGATTGTCAGTTTAATGTCAAGTTATTTAAAATAAATGGAGTGTGTTTTTATTGTTTTCTTGGGTTTGATGTTTTTTATTTCGTGTAACTTGAGAATGCATTGTGTTTGGTACTTTTATTTATGAATAACATAAAAATTTATTTAAGGAAAGACTAATTTTGAAATAATATTTTTGATGTATTTGAAAATAAAATTCAAGATAGAGAAATGAAATAATTTCCTAAAGAAGGAGTTGAATATATTTTTACTTTTGAATGAATTAAAGATTAATTTAACCATTTATATATGTGTGTGTATATATATATATGTATTTTATAGGACTTAATGTGTTTGAATGATAAAACTGTAATTAGTTAAAATGACTTTTCTTTTAGTCTTACAGAACCTAAACTCTGAATAGATGATCTAGATATTGCCACTGAAACAGAGAGTAAGCCAGACAAGTTTTAGATTAGTGTATATTAATTTTTAGCAAGACTAAATTTCTAAGTCAAGATAATTGTTCTTGCTGTGAGATTTTAAATCTTAACAGGTGACATTACTTACTTTATTAGGAATTGTTTTTACAATAATTTAAAATACTCTGAATAATGTTTTTTTTCCTTCTGTCTTTATTATCCCTATCTTACTGATCCTTTGTTTTACAGGGACATTTTAAAATTATTTTTAATGTATTTAAATAGTTCATAACATTCTTTCCTTGAAATTTAAGGAAGTTCTTGTGATTTCCCCTACTTAATTTTTAAAAGTTTGAATAGTCACCTTGATTGTTGTCTTATGTATTTATATAGTTAGATTCATGGTATCATGTATTGACTTTTTTTGTAGTTTAGGGTCCAGAATTGTTTTTCTAAGCTTGTTATAGTAGTAGAGTTATAAAAGCAGAATCTCAAGCTAGACATTTTTATTTTATGCTTTATAGAATACTTTCCTCTGTTTCTGATTCTTTTAAGATAATGCCTGTCTTATTGTGAAAATGGTACATATTCATTACATAAATTTGGGAAGCACAGGAGAGCATATAGAAGAAAATAAAAAATACATTATTCTAGTATCAAAAGAAAAATACTGTGTTTTTTGGCATATAACCTATTTTTTCTATGTACATATAAACATATAAAAGCATACATGTCCATGTAAAAATGATTTCTGGATATTACTGTAAGTATTGTTACATAACCTATCTTTTTTTAAAAGAAAATTATTATGAACATCCTTAATGTCGTGAAATTATGACTATCCTCAATGTCATGAAATAGTCATCTATAGCATAATTTTTTTCATCCCATCACCTCTTATTGCAGATATAGCATAATTTTTAGGGATTACATAATGTTTTATGTATTTATGTTTTGTAATTTATTTCACCAGTTTGAGTTTTTCTGATAATTGTTCAGAGAAAAGATTTGCATGATTCCACAGCATATGTTTGTCCAAAAAGGAAGGATATCTTAAGGAGTTAAGTAAAAATGTAGTTTCAATATTTTTCTAACAGGAGAATATACTTAGTTTGATTATATCGTGAACTCTTTAAAGATATGTATACTACTTTTAAAACAAAGCAAATAGGTAAGATTGCCATAATAAAATATAAAAAACAAACTTTAAAAAAAATTAGGAAAACTAGGGCTCAAATCAACTAAGACTTTAGAAAAATGCTTAGACCAACCAAAAGAGTTTCTTGTATTACCTTTAACATGAGAAGGTAAATCGAGGATATATAATACTAATGTATGATAGTGAGGGAAGAAAAAATTTCTTAGGTCTTGAAGCTTCTTTGTCAATGAGGAAGAGTCAACCACCACCACCAACAACAAAAATAAAAATAACAAAGCAAACATTGCTAAGAAGGACATTAAAACTAATATGGGTATTGAAGTAAAGAATATATCTAGTTAAATGAGTTGTCTGAGGAGCCGTTTGAAATGTTTTATGGTTATAAAAGGAACTATGTGCAACATCTTAAAATTATGGGTAGTATTTGTGGTCTTTGAAGGTGTTATGAGAATATAAGAACTGCTGAAAGATAGGAGATTTGGGGCCTGATTTTGAAACAGATTTTGAAACAAAAAATGAAAAGAATTAATTTATGACTAACTTGAAGAAAAACAGATTAAAAATGATTTGTAATGGGTTTCTTAAAAATAGATTGTCAGACCAACTTGGGTTTTTCTTTGATGCATTAGTATACCAGTATCCGTATATTTGGATTTAAGTTTAGCTTTTGGTAAAGTCTTTTTTAATATCCTTGGGTGTAAGCTGAGGGAATAATAAATTAGCTACTAGTTAATTAATTAACCCAATTTTGATTTTGAATGACCCTTTCCAGAGGCTGATTGATCTTGGAAAGTGGCCTTGTTCTTTGCTTTGTCTTATTACTCATCTGGAGAAAGCAAATTATCAAATTTATAGGTGACAATGAAGAACAAAGGATAGTAAGTAGTATACTAAATGATCCAAAATGATTTCTGAGGCTGGATTATTTGGATTAAATTTATTTATTTATTAGTTTGTTTGTTTATTTTTTGAGACGGAGTCTTAGTCTGTCAGCGGGCTAGAGTGCAGTGGCATCATCATAGCTCATTGCAACATCAAACTCCTGGGCTTGAGTGATCGATCCTTCTGCCTCAGCCTCCCAAGCAGCTGAGACTACAGGCATATGCCACCATGCTTGGCTAATTTTTCTATTTTTTGTAAAGACAAATTCTCACTTTTGCTCAGATTGGTGACTCTCTGTCCTTTTTATTTACCCTGCTTTATTTTTCCTCATAGCACTTATCACCATATGCTATTTAATATATTTATTTAGATATGTTCTATGTTTCCTTTAGAATGTATTTATTTTGAGGGTTAGGACTTTCTCAATTAAATCTATTAATACCAGGACTAGAACAGTATATGAGAGGTGTTCAGTGAATATATTAGTAGCTTCTATTCAGAGTCTCCTCAATGTGGAGAGGTGGTGTTTGCCTAGCAACATATTCCTTTTTTAAAAAAAATTTCAAAAACCAGAAACAAGGTAATAAACATTTTAAAATCAAAAGAAACCTCTAGCTTTTGGAAAAACTTCTACCTTATAGTACAATGTTAAAGTTTGGCCACTAAGGGATACTTTTCTGTTAGAATTGTTAGTGTCTAGCTAGGTTTTCAAGTGATTTCAGTTTAAATTTGAAAAGATGCTCTTAGAGCATACCACAGTATATCAAACTCCCTGCTGCTGCTACTGCTTCTGTCTCACGAGAATTGCTGACATATCTGGCAAAGGAGTTTTAGGAAGAAGAGAAGGATGTCAGGATTTAGGAATAGTATTAAAATTATTTTTGGGCTATATGTATTTCTTGCCAAAGTTGTCTTTTGTGGGGTAATCTGGGATTTAAATATCATTTAAAATATAACCTTTGAGAGTTTAGCCCAGTTTTCATTCAGTTGAGAACTTCCCTTATTGGTAAGTAGCCTTTGTTCCTTGGGAAACTAACCATATATTACGCAGAAGAGCAGAAAGTTTATAGAAGGCTAATTGATAAAAAAAAAAGAGAGAGAGAGAAAGAGAGAAAGGTTGTCATTAAATCTGTTGAAAATAGTTAAAAGTTTGATAGCATTTTTTATGTTGTCACAATTATTGGCACTTATTACAGGGATCAGCAAACTTTTTCTGTAAAGGGCTGGATAGTTTTGGCCATGTGGGCTATAGTCTCAGTCCTAGCCACTGAGTTTTGCCATTGTAGCATCAAAGCAGACATGAATAATAATAATGAATAGACATTGATTGCTGTGTTCCAATAAAACTTTATTTACAAAATCAGGCAATGAGTTGAATTTGGCCTATGAACCATAGTTTCCAGCTTCTGACTTAACACATTAAAGATGCTTATAAAAAGCATATACAGGCTGGGCGTGGTGGCTCATGCCTGTAATCCTAGCACTCTGTGAGGCCAGGGGGGGTGGATTGCTCAAGGTCAGGAGTTCGAAACCAGCCTGAGCAAGAGACCCTGTCTGTACTAAAAATAAAAGGAAATTAATTGGCCAACTAAAAATATATAGAAAAAATTAGCCGGGCTTGGTGGCGCATGCCTGTAGTCCCAGCTACTTGGGAGGCTGAGGCAAGAGGATCACCTGAGCCCAGGAGTTTGGAGGTTGCTGTGAGCTAGGCTGACGCCATGGCACTCACTCTAGCCTGGACAACAGAACGAGACTCTGTCTCAAAAAAAAAAAAAACAAAAAAAAACCACAAAAAACAAAAAAAGCATATGCAAATCACTTGCTCCAAAAATATATTTAATATAAAATCATTTAAAAGCTTTAGTTTAAAAACTAGAACATGGGATATGATATTTGTTAGAGTAATGAAAAACAGATTATTTTCCTACCAAAATAAAGATAGAATTTTAAATAGTGCTTCTTGGCTGGGTGCAGTGGCTCACGCCTGTATTCCTAGCACTCTGGGAAACCGAGGCAGGAGGATTGCTTGTCCTCAAGAGTTTGAGATCAGTCTGAGTGAAAGTGAGACATAGTCTCTACCCAGAATAGAAAAAGTAGCCAGGCATTGTGGCACGTGCCTGTAGTCTTAGCTACTTTGGAGGCTGAGGCAGGAGGATTGCTTGAGCCCAGGAGTTGGAGGTTGCATTGATCTACAGTGATGCTGCTGTACTCTACCTGGGGTGACAGAGTTAGACTCTGCCTCAAAAAAAAAAACTTTTTTGAGGCCATGTTAGTTCAGATGGTTAGGAATATTGTCAGTGGCAAAAACACATTCAAATTCAAGTGTTTTTTCTGTTCTCTCACTGAACAACTATCAACACAGAAGACTTCTGTGGCCAAATGTGTGTAGGTTTTCCCACACACACCAAGTAAGCAATCAGTA